GTCTACCGAGGCTTGTTTAATTAGAACGAATTCTGCCTCTCCCCTCCTCAGCAAAACCCAACTTGTCGTTTACATCGATGACGAAAACTTTTGACGTCGTCTCCAAGGGTGCGTGCCTTGGTGCGTGCTTTGAAAACACGGTTGTTCGGTTTTCATCTCCCTGTCTCGCGCAAATTTAGGGTAAAAATACAGTAATTGAAGAATAACCTAAAAGCGCTTTTGATCAAAAACATGTCTTAACATTGATATTATCTTGATTGATCGAACAGATTAATTATTAATGCCGTCATATTAAAAAGTGCTGTAATTGAATGTATATTTTTGATGATTGTAGAAATGTTAATATGATTGCACTTAAGATTAATAAATGATTGTTAAAAAATAAATGTAATACACCTGTCTCGTATAAACATTTCAATCACATTGTTAAATTCGTAATGTCAAATTATATCTACAATTTGACTTATTTTTAATTTCTATAAGTTGTCCTTTTCTTCTCAATTTCATAATTTTACAAATGAAATTATAATATTATTTACTTTGAAGCACAAATTGAGTTACTTTTTAATTCACATGGAAATTAACACAATATTATAAAAGATTACTAATATTAATTACAAAATATTATTTAACTCTTATATTATTAATTCGAAGGATTAGGTTATCACCAGGATTATGGTTTGCTTTTTTGATATCTAACAGTGCAGAGGGACGGGCGCTTCACTGATTCAATAGTTGCTGAAGTTAGTGTACTTTACGAGACACAAAAAATATTTTTATTACAAGCAATATACCGCTACTGACGCGATTCGAAAGCGTGATTCTTTACGGTCCGCCGAATTTATTCTCGCGTGAGAGCGAGCCGCTGCGGTCTACTGGTGACACAAAAGAAAAGCTTTTCTCGTGCACCACGTCTATAATCCAGCAATCCTTGTTCTTAGCCGCGTGATTACTTCCGTTACGAAACGGCGAGCGCCTTTAAACGTATCGGGCCGTTTCATCGGCTGCGGCGGATCCCCGTCGATATAGCGTCGGAACTTGACGAAGCATAGCAGTTGCTCGCGAGAAAAAAAGGTATGCCTATAAGTATACCGTTTTTTAATCTAGCCTACCAGACTCTCTTGCGAATACTCGATACAATCTTTTCAGCAACAAGTGGTCGATTGTTTCCTTTACCTCGCACTCCGGTGTTTCCGTCGACTCGGACGTTTTCGAATTCCCAGAAGGTTGTCTCACTCTCGACGTTCTGGTGTGAAGAATTATTGCGCAGACATTAGGGTAAGTCCCGAAACATAATAGGTGTAAGAAGTCTTAAACCTTAAGAAATTGACCAATTATAGTCGAGTATTCTTCTCATTCGATTGTGATTGATTAATTCCTTAAGATTTAAAGCTTATTATATCTATTGTGTTTCAGGACTAATGAGTAACGGATCGAAATTTAAGCTTTTAATGTTATACAAATCTCGTAGTCATTTTGTTTAATAAATAATTCGTTCAGAATCACATATATACATATTTCGTAGAATGCAGGATTCAATTGGTTTTATGGGAACTCCTTTTGAAATATTAACTTTAGACCTCAAACACAATCATTATTCACACCCCCTGTCTAATGTATCGCTGTTGCGGTGATGTATTCGAGATGAGCGACGGGATGGAGAGAAAATACGGGCGTCGACGTGGTCTGTAACCATAACCATTAGGGTACCGTGAGTTCGTCGCGCTCTATAGCGACATTACGCCCTGCACGTGTCCGGTCGATGCGGGACGCACGTGTCACGTGTGTCTGAGGAAGCTCCATTTGGACTTGTGAACGACAGAAATCAAACGACGAGAACAACGATATCGACGATGATGAAGAGGGACGATGGAAGGACGTCGTTCTGGATAGAAGCAGGAAGGGTAGCGACAAGTGCTTACACAACAAGTGCGTATTCCGCGCGCGGCAAAGTGCAACAAAAGTACGGAATGTACGTCCGTGTGAACCTTGCAACGAGTCGGAAAAGGCGGTGTCATCGAACTGGGTTCTCAAGAGAGCTAAGCGTTCAGTCGAATGACACGTTTCTTCCCCCCCTTAGAACAATACGAAAGCCTTTTCCTTCCTAGTGTGGGATATTAAATCGTAAATAGACATGATAGAAAGTTATTGTTTTTCTTGAATATAAAATTGTAACATTATGAGAAGAACCGTGTATGAATAAATCGAATAAAGTAAAGAATGCCGAACGATCAAAGTTAGAATATATGTTACGAATATATTTAATCAATTTTTTTGTTCCAAATGTGATTGCGCGCCGATAAATGTTGGACTTTCAACACAATTATTATGAAATGTTTAATAAATAAAACCTATCTGAAAATAAACGTTTAATAAATAAAATCCCTCTAAATAAAACCCCTAAAAACGATAATAAAATTGTAAATTAACTTTGATTTTGAAAAACATCAAGAAAAAAACATTGTTTTCTTAGAATTCTATAATGATATTATAGAATATAATAACATAATTAATAAACAGATGTTTATATTTTCCATAATAATGTTAGATTTTAATAACATATATACTGTAGCTGG